GGATAGGAAGATTGAACATTGTGAAAATGTCAGTTCTACCCAAAGCAATCTATACATTCAATGCAATCCCAATCCAGATCCCATTAACATTCTTTAGGGATATGGAAAAACCAATCACTAACTTTATATGGAAAGGATAAGAGACCTCAGATAAGCAAAGCACTACTGAAGAAGAAAAACAAAGTAGGAGGTCTCACACTGCCAAATCTCAAAACCTACTATACAGCCACAGTAATCAAAACTGCCTGGTATTGGTTTAATGACAGATACATAGACCAAAGGAATAGAATTGAGAACCCAGAAATAGATTCATTGACCTATGGTCAGCTGATTTTTGACAAAGGGCTGAAATCCATTAAATGGGGAAAAGAATGGTTGTTTAATAAATGGTACTGGCAAAACTGGAGATCCATTTGCAGAAAAATGAAACAACATCTGTACCTCACACCACACACAAAGACTAACTCCAGATGGATCAAAGACTTACATGTGAAACCTAAAACCTGTGATCCAGGCCCACACCCAGGCCCTCTCATCCACACACTCCTACTCCCCACATCCCCATTCTCATCCCCACTTTGGCCATGTTTCCCAGGTTGCAAATCACTGCGGAGGCAGCCACTTTCACTGAGAGATGGGTCAGTGGTTGAGGAAAGCCTTCCTGCAAATGCCTTGGGTGAGCCAAACTACCATAACAGAAACAGAGCCAGCAGGGAGCAGGTGAGTCAGGAAGTAGCTGCGGTCCTTCCAAGTGGAAGGTACTAAACAGTTATCTGTTAAATGAATATGTATCTGGAAGGCCAATGCATTTCAAGGAGAATCCATCTTACCTCTTACAACAACAGATCACAGTCCAAGTCAGGATTCCGAAGGCCACAACAATGACAAAGGAAGCAATGATAACATATAACACGCTCCACTCTGCCAAGAAAAACAAAACAGAGAGGACTATGAAGATAGAGAGCAGAAGAAAGGTTTGGGGTGCCTGCAAGTTGGGCAGGAGGTGGCACCACTCTGTAGACAAGAACTCCCCTAGGGCTCCAAGAAGACAAGACCTTGCAGTTGAAGGCATCTGAAACTTTAAAATTGCCCTTCCTTTCCAGTTCCTGCTCCAGGCACGCTCTGAGTTCCTGGGGCAGTGGGGCTATCTGTAAAGAGCTTGAACAGGAGGCAATATGTGAGAACAGGAACCTGCAGGGGGCACTCCAAAAGGACAGGATGTCTACTTTCAGGCTGCAATTTGCAACTGATCTGATCGAAGCTTGGTTTTTCTTACATGCCTGCTTCAGAGCTTGCCTCTAACCTTGAGCAAGTGTGGAGGAAGGAATTAAAAGTCTTCTGCAAACAGAAAATACACAAAGTTCTTCTCCTTGCCTGCTCATCTGCCTCGCCAACACCAACACCCACCCACTCAGCTCAGAAGCACAGTCAGTGCCAACCCGGCTGGTACAGGGCCAAGCAGAAAACTCACCACAGTTGCTGTCTCCATCTCTCAGCTGCACCTTGATGAAATTCTCCATCCAAAAAGGATCACAGATACAGCGTTTGGTGAATGAGTCACAGTGGCCATGGTCAGAACAGTTCAACTGACATGCTGAAGGTAATAGAAAAGGTGAAAAAAGTCAGCTGGTGGTGACAACCGGGACCCAGCGCCCGTGAAAGATACAAGATTACCCACTGCTCAGCACTCTGTGACAAAATCTTCTGGGGACCCGATCCAAAAGCCTGCACGGCTTGGGCAGTAGCTCATAACCACCACGATGTCTGGGTAACACTGGAGCAGTTAGGAAGGCCAGGAAAAGATACTTCCCGACTGTCTTCTCCTGTGGGTTCTATCAGCAGTTCTTAATCTTTTAGGTCCCCTGGACCTACTCCTCAGAATAATTTAATTGTGAAAATAAATACATAGTATTATAAAAGAAAGGAATTATATTGAAAATTTTATTTTTGAAATATTTAAGGACACAAATTTGTGAAATCATAGTATGTGCTTTTATTAAAGTGTTAAATAATAAAAGCATCTAGAAGTTGATATAGAAACCAACATAACTATGAAGCAGCAATGAGTAAAAATGACATTTTGTCATATAACAGGAGATGAAATTATCTGTGATTTCTCCAGCCTTCGAGCCACAGCTCTGTTCATGTTAGTGTAGTGTGTTGCCTACCTTCATAATTGAAGGAAACAATATGTTTTGGTTAGAGGTCTGTGAACATAAAGACATCATCTCCTCCTAGTCAAGCTCTTGGCTCCCCTGACCACTATCTCAGGAGCTCATGGACCCGGGTTAAGAGCCCCTGCAGTGAGTCAACCGGGACTCTCATGATGATGGCAGTGGAGGACAGTAATCACCTCCAAGCTCCCGAAGAAGAGGGGAAGAATGCTGAGGAGAGCAGGGTTAGATGAGGGCACTGGACAGGCTCCTGCTCTCACTCCCCAAAGTTACTCACTGACAGTATTGATTTCCAGGGCTCCAAATATCAGGAAGTCTGCCTTTTGCTTCCGTAGCTCACTCTTGAGCATTGCTGCCACCTCACGGCCTTTGAAGATCTGGTGTGGAGGCTCATTTTGAACAAAAAATACCATCTTGGTGCTGCAAAGACATGTGACAGTATGAATCAGCTAAAGCTGTCAACAATAACAACAGCAGCAGCAGCTACCATTTCCTGAGCACCTTTATTGTGTGCCAGCCAAGGTGCTAAGTGCCACATGCATTTTCTCACAAGCCAGTGAGAAAGAGTTTTCAGTATCATCTCCATTTCACACCACACCAGGGCTCAGAGGGGTTAATTAACTTGCCCAAGGTCACACAGAAAATTTATGGCAGAGCCAGATCCCAACCCTGATAAATCTGACTCCAAAGCCCATGGTTTTAAAAATGTCCTAAGATGCCCTGGCTAACAAAGAGGGACCACCCCTAGTGGGAAACTGGAGGATGAGAAAAACGGGAATTTGGCTATGGCCAGATTCCTGCCATTAGCCTTTTTATAGCTAAGACTATGGTGCTGTTAGATTTGGACCTAGGTTACTCACTCCTAAGACAAACCCCAATGCACTGTAAAGTATTATCTATAGGTCAAAACATAGCCATAGCGATAGTTACTATGACAATAAGAAAGGCCCTACACATACTCATGTGGCTGGTATGAAATAATGTTACTCCATGCTCAGAATCATTGCTTTCTGATTGTTAATTTCTGTCCAAGACAGACTGGGTTTGAACTCCAATCTGTGTAGCACAAAATCTGTTCCCTATGGCTTAACCTCCATTTTTGCTAGACTGCTTCCTGAGCTCCATGTCAGTTCAAAAACACACCTTTCTAATCATGGTTCACACTGGGTTACAGGTATGTCCAAAGTATGTTCCCTTCAGCCTGCAGGGTACCTGGGTGGAAGCCCTTTACCAGTTGCCTCCAGTACAAGCAGCCCTGTCTATTTAGCCCAAAACTCCAAAACCAAACTCACTGCCATTGAGTCGATTCCGACTCATAGTGGCCCCTTTGGGTTTCTGAGGCAGTAAATCTTTACGGAAACAGATTGCCCAATCTTCCTTCCACCGAGTGGCTGGTGGGTTTGCACAGTCAGATGCCTTAAGCACTATGCCACCAGAGTTCCTTTATTTACCCAAGGTACCGTATAAATAGTATCATTTTCTATGCGTGACATGACATAGAAGTTGAGAAACACCATCACAGGCTCTCTACAAGCTGGCTGCACAGTAAGGATGACAATGAGGTCCTGTGGATTCCAGAATCACAAACAAATTTTTGCCATAAAAATTTATAGTCCATTTCCCATTATGCCCCCTCAGTTACCTAATCTATGCTTACAGTTTCAACTTCTGCAGTCCAATAACCCTCAAATCTTTATCTCCTCTCCCTTGTGGGACCTCCTTTTCTCTCTCCTCCTGAGCAACCAAATCGATATGTGAAAATGCTTGCTAGATCTTCCACAGTCACAAAATAAACTCCTAATAATGACCATTAATTGAACACTATGTGTTAGAGACTTATCTTATTTAAACATTATTTTATTGAATCCTCAATAGCAACTTATAAAATAGGTACTAGAATTTTTGCAGGTAATTAAAACCAGTTCAGAGAAGTTAAGTAACTTGCCCACTGTCACAAAGCTAACACTAATGGGCAGGGCACAGAAGCCAGATCTGGCTGGTATAAGGCCCATGTTCTTTCCCATTGTCATAAGCTATCTCCCTCCAATCTCACCTCCTCCTGCATTCTTCAACTAAGACAACTCAGCCATCGTCAAAGCCAGAAATCCAGTCATTGCTGATGCCTGTCTCTTCCTCCTCAACCATGTGCAGCCACGTCAAGTCTGTGGTCAAACTCATCAACAATGCTCTTATCAACATTCTTGCTAATGTCTTTCCACTGCTCTACCCAGCCAATTCCAGCAACTTAGATCAATCCAAGCAGCCACTTTCCCTGTTCCTACTTCCAGCTTGCTGAGTACAGCTTAGTGAATGAAACCAGTGAACCCTGAATGCAAATTAAATTCACCTGGGGAGTGCAGGCCTGACTGTAGATCATGGAATCATAATCTCAGGGGTAATGCTCAGGCAATGGTGTGCCCATAAAAGCTCCCCAAAACAAAACAAAACCCTCACTGCTATCAAGTCAATTCCAACTCATAGCAACCCCAATTGAGTTTCTAAGGCTATAAATCTTTACAGAAGCAGACTGACTGCCTTATTTTTCTTCCACAAGGCAGATGGTGGGTTTGAACTACCAACCTTTTAATTAGCAGCCAAATGCTTTAACCACTGCACCACCAGAGCTCCTTAAAAGCTCCCCAAGGGATTCTAAATATGTAGGTAGTGTTGGGAGCCACTACTCTCACCTCCTGTCTCTAACCTTGGCTGAGACCTCAATTTTGCTCAAAGCCACCTTCCTTTCCTGGGCTGTGCTCCCAAGCTTTACTACTTTCCTCAGGCTTCCTGCCTTATTCCCCATCTCCTTGAAACAACCTTGCCTCTAGTTGCACAGAAAAAACATGGAACATTGGTACCAACACTCTCAAACTGCATCCTTGCTCCTCTAAAGTCCCCCACAATAGCACATCTTCCTTCCCTTTCTCCTTTCTCCCAGGAAAGTAGTTGCCCTGCTTCTGCTCACAGCCAATCCGACAGCCTCCCTCCATTTATCACACACCCCAGTCTCTACCACCTCCTTTGTTTCTGCATCTTCCCTTCAGTCTATCAACATCTTGAGTATTTCTGATCTTTAAAAGGTATTTTTTGATCCCATCTCTCATATTATTTTCAGCACAAACTTCCTCAAAGAGGTGTTACTCTTACTCCCTCCTTGGCCTCAAACCATGCATTTTATCCTCTGTTCCCAGCATCTTGCTCAGGATCTGATGATCTACTACCAAGCAGAAACCCAAAGGCCTGTGTTCTCACCATCCTCTATGCCTTGGCATCTGAATCCTTCAACCAGCCCCCTACTGCCAGATAGTGCCTTAACTTCCAGCAGATCACTCCTGCCTGATTCTTTTTTCTTCCTGATATCAGGCTGTGTCTTAGCTTCCTCTACTAACTTGTTTTTCTTTCCTACTCCTGAAATATTGATGCCCTACAGAACTCTGTCCTCAACCCTTGTGACACTCTCCCAATGTCTCATTCTCCTCATAAATTTGATTCCTGCCTGTATCTGGCCTTTCCTTCCACTGTAATGTCCAGCCTGTATTTGCTGCTATTGATGGAATATCTCCAAATCCAAGTGAAGCTAAACCAATTATCTTGCCTTCTAAACTGGCGCCCTCTGTATCCCTAATCTTAGTTAATGGAGCTCATCATCTATCCAGTCACCCAAACCAAAAGCCTCATATTTGATGCCTCATGCATCTTCATTCCCAAAGGGTCACTAAGTTCTGCTGATTTAACCTCTGAAATTTCTTTTCTTCTACCATCTCCACAGCCACTACCCTAATTTAAGTTTTTATCACCCTTTTACTACACTAGTCCAAAGACTTCCTGATTGGTCTCCCAGCCTTTGGTCTCCCCTACCTTAGACTAGCCTCTACAGTACCAGTCTCTCTTAAAAATGTGTGTGTGTGTGTGTGTATGACTAGAGCATTCCCTTGCTTTAAAAGCAAACAAACAAACAGAAACTTCATTTTAAAAACAAATCAATTTGGGTCCTCCTGACAAAACTATTGAAATCCAAATTTCCTGGCAAGCAGACAACTGTTCTCAATCTATACAGTCAGACTTACCTTCTACCACATCCTGACTTCTAAAGGAGGAGGAAATCCCTACACTTACACAGGAATCATGGTCATGTTTCTTCCCTGTTTTAAATTTCCTCCTAGCTCTCCTGTGCCTGCCAATGCAACTTTTACTACTTCTGGGAAATCTTTGGACTCCCCTGCACCCTAACCTTCCTGGAAGAATTCATTGCTCTTATCTCTGTGTTTCCAGGACACCATACATTATGTCAAATCCACTCTGTTTTATAGTTCTATGTATACATGACCATCTCCTCAAATAAACTGTAGACTTCAAAAATCATGGACCTCCTCGGACCCTGTGCCCACCAGTACTCTAACTGCAGTTGTCTAGTTCATTAAAGGAATGGACACCATGAATTATTCCTGGTCAGAAAGCCCACCCTTCACTATCTATCCAAACTATTTCTCAGCTCAACCAAGAAGCCCAGGGGGCCCCTGGTCTTTCCTTTTCTCCCCCCATTCATTGCCCAGCTACCTCTGCTCCGTGTATGGCTGAATCTTTTGCACAATGATGTCGGAATCCAGCACCCCCAGGAGGACCCCAATCTGGCGGATGAACATCCCCTTCAGCCTCTCTGTTAGCTGACTGACGTTGACATCCAAGATGATCTCCACCAGGTTGTTTTTCCTGGGATCTGGAAAGCATGTGCATCAGTCATGGCTTAGAAGTAGGAGAGGTAACACAGACCTGCCTCTGTGCATTTGCTTCGGCACAGGAGAAGAAAGACCAATCAGAAATACTACTGGCCTCTTTCAAATGGAAAGAAATAATAGTGAATTCTAATAACTCCACCTGGGGCTGACTTGGAAAGCTTCTAAAGCATCCCTGGTCTCTACAGCAACCTGAGAACTGCCATGCATGTGCTGGGGATAAATGAGGCAATAGGAGTTTAGTGAAGGGAGGTGGGGAAGAGAGGAACACTTCAAGGCTTATTTAAAAGCCCATGCCTCCTTGGCTTTACTGAACTCTCCAGGCCAAGTGGTGGGTAACAAGCAACCCCTCCCAACCTACATCTAATTTCCGATGCTTTGGTGTCCTTGGTCTATCTTTGCCCTTCAAAGCAATCCTGGGAAGGGAAAGTGCTCATCTCAATAACTGTATCAATAATGAGAATGTACCTGCCCCTCTGCAATAAACAAAGAAAATCTGGGCAGCCAAGAAATAAGGATTTGGTTATAGTAACAACACTGCTGCCACACTATCTTTTCACAACTCAAGAGCTGTGAAGCTATTGTGTTTTACTTTTGAATACATCCCAAAGACTATTACACATTTGGAAGTTAAGACTGATTGTTCAGAATACCTTATTTGCATACGTGGGTGCGCAATTTGCCTGTTCTGATGTATAACTTGTAGACTATCTGTGATGTGATCTTAAACACAGAAGAGACTGTGCCTGGATGTTGTCCGTCCTAGAGGTAGGACAAGGACTGGAAGATTCTCAAGATCCCTTCCCATCTAAAACATTCACACATGGGTTTGGCCTAAATAGTAAAGAGTAGGTTTAAAGTTAATACCTTCTCATTAGATGCTCAGGAGTTGAAAAATCTCCTACGCCCATATGTAATTTCTCCCTATCACCAAATTAGCCTCAAAGCAAAATAAAAACACAGTTCTGTTTAATAAGGAAATTTTATTTCTGCACATTTGAAAAATGCAAAGGACACCCGTTATTTTACCTTCCCTGGGTTGTCAGATAAGGCCTCAGGCTTAACTTATAAAAATAAATTGTTTTCTGCATCTGAGTGCTGATGAGACATCATGACTCAAGCTATTCCTGTGCTCAGATTCTCAACACACCCTGAGCCCTCTCCTCAGTCACATGGAGGGGAGAAAGTGCTGGATGAACGGCACAAAGGCCTGGCTCTGACACAACTGCTGTGTGACACTGAGCAAGCCCTGCCCTCTCTGAGTTTCAGTCTCTCCATCTTAAAAGTCCATGTAGAAGTCTATATGCCTGTGTGAGTAAGAGAGGTATTATGGAAATAGACAGTCTCCATAGGGTCACTGTAAGTTGGAATCAACTCAACAGCAATGAGTCTTGGACTTGGTCGAGGAGTTTTCAGCTTGGGGTTTCTTAGTATCTTTTAAAAGCTGGACATGCCATCTGGCCCTGTCCATGCTGGGGTCTCAGGAGAGAGGTCTTGATTGGCTGATTCAGCAACCCCTCTCCATTTCATCACTAAGTGGACTCACCAGGTTTCACCTCCACAGTGGTCCGGTCTGTGTCACTCTCACCCTTTGCATCAGTCACTTTCAGATGAAATGTGTAAGTTCCCTCGACCAGGTTGGAAAGAAAGAGGATAGGGTGGTGGTCAGAGTGATTTAACACCTCCTGTGGGGTTAAACAACATGGTGATGTTGCAGAACAAAACCCCATTCCTTTCTGGGAGTCAGTCACTGTTTCTATACTAACTAAGCCCCCTGTGCCAGACTGCTTTAACTCTGGGCAATCCCTGCTCAGCAATGGCACTGTAGCCCACAGCTGCTAGGATCAGAGCAGATAAACACATCCTGTACCATGCCAGCTTACAGAATGACCCTGAGCCAGTCATTTAATCTCCCTTGCTCCTAAGAGAGCAATCCAGGTTCAATACAAAGGACCACCTGGTAAAACACATTCTGGAATACTAGGCCCACCCCCCACCCTCCCCATGTCACCATTTAGACCTTCTGTGACTCTCCAGCCCTGGCACACTTACCCCTGCTGCTGGGCTCCCCTCATCTCGAGTCCAGAGGTAGCTGACTATTCCTTTGTCATCTGAGGACTTGGAGCCATCCAGCTCTGCTGTGTTCGTGGGCAAGGTAATCACCACATTCCCAGTTACCTTGGCTATCGGTGGTTTGTTCATTTCTAACCAAAAAGAAAATCATTGACAGGATGTAATTTTCCAAAAGAGAAGGAATGCTTCTTTATGATGCTTATGGGGAAATTAAACATCAAACACATCTCAAATGGAGAGCTGTTTTATGTGCCTACGATTGCCAGGAACCAATAGGCAGATTTAAAGCCTCCAGCTCTGCGGGTCCTAGAGTTCTAGTCCTACCCAGGGAAATGTTTTCCTGACATGTACAACAGCAGGGACATGTGTGGTTTCCTCCTAGCAGCCTCTCTGAAAGGAACCCATTTCTCTGCTTTGGCAGTAGATAAAAACAGGAAACAAAGGCTCACTGGGGCTTAAAGTCTTGGAGTCTGGGTTTCATTCAGCTAGTATCAAAAAAACTCCCTTTTGAAGTAGGTTTATACTGTTATTCTCTGAAAATATATTTTTATTCTTTCCTTAGTACTTTAAAAAAGGAAAGAGACCTCTCTTCTCTGGGGCATCACCTGAAGCTTGCTTGCTTGCTTAGGCGTTAGTGTTCAGTATGCTATATCTGAAGGGCACGGCCTATCTGATGATTTCACCTACAATCAACTAGGATCCCCTCTCCCAAGGCCATAACTGACCGCCATGCCTGCACACCAGAGCAAACTCTTGCCTCCAGTTGGCCTGGGCTGACAGGCTCACAGGACTGCATAGGAAGCTGCAGTATAGCACCGTCATTCTAAACTCTGACAGCAGGTGTCACTGTAGCTAGCAGGAGAGTCACAGAAACCCCCAGGTCTTAGCAGCACACAGGCAAAAATTAAAATGCAAAGGAAAAAGCCTTTAATTCTTTACCTATTCAATTGTTTGTAGAAAGATAAAGGAGAAAGAGAAAAAGGAAGGAAGGGATGATGGAGGAAGGGAGTTGTTTTTTGTTTGTTTTTTTTAAAAAAAAAAAAAACAGCCTTACAGTCATTCAATTACTGGTTGTTTTAGGAAAGCGTTAGCAGCTGCCTTCACCCTCTAAGCTTCTCCCGCACGCTTGTGGTCTCTAATCAATCTCTGCAGCCAAACAAGGCATGACTGGACTCCTCCGCTCTCTGATCCAAAGGGTGTGCTGCACCACCCCAAGACAGGAAGGTACCTTCTTTGACAATGACATTCACAGAGCTCTGGCTTTGCAGGTTCCTCTCGTCTTTGACAGTCAAGGTGAACACATAGGTTCCCACTTGCAGCCCGGTCACAGTGGCAACGCTGCTGTTAGCATTCTCGAGCTGCACTCCATCAGGTCCCCTGGACAAAGAAACCAGAGGGTGGAGTTGTACCTGTCTGTTGCTCCCTTGTCCCTGACTCAGCGGGAAGAGACTACTTATTGCTTCAGCTAAGTTCTGAGTTGCTGTTTCCCAGACCTTAAGAGGACACGTTTAAAAATATTCCACTGGAACAAAGTATCACTTGGCCCCAAAATACAGGCTACCTGCTGGTAGAAAATTCCCGTCACATCTTTCAAACACACCTAGTCTTATCCTTTATATGAGCTTCTAGAACATTCACACTCTTCCAGTTTATAAAAGAAAGTGCTCTGCACAGATCTCTGATCAAAAGAATAATTTAAAAGTGATGTTTCTGAAAAGCATTTCTGGCTCAGTAGTTGGTTCAACTCTTGCCAGCAAAGAAGCAAAATGTATTTCTTAATCACCTGCCAAAATCCCTCCTGATGAAAAGTCAAGGAAGGGAAGTGGGCCAAGGTTGCAGAGGAACTCTCAGGACAAAATCATCTTCTTCTCTCAGTTCTCTAAGTAAAGTTCCCTCCAGCTCCTGGCAGGGGCCACAGGGGACCCAGGATGGCAGCATCCTTCCTTCTCCCTTGTGGCCTCAGAGAGCAGCCTGCAGCAGGGGGTGAGCTCTGTGCCAACATCCACACACAAGGCTGCCCATAACCAGAGACTCCTTATGCTCAAGATCAAAATGCCCTAGGGTTTTCCTTAAAATACAGGGCAACCAGAGAAAGCTACAGACGTCTAGGTATAACCCCTGTCCCTAAAAACCCCTTATGACATGAATTCTTCCTCCAAGAAGCTATGCTAAGCATTATCTCTGCTCTAAACACTAATAAAACTCAACTGAAAGTTTTATTAGTCATATCTTCAATAAAGAGTTATAATTAAAACACACTGGGCTAAGGAAGATTAGATTCTTTAAAAGATAGAAACAAGAGCTAAGGGAAATCATTTCTAGACTCCAGTTCTAGCAATCAGGAATCAAGTGGTTTCTGAAGTCAAATTATAGCCCTTCTCTACCCATCTCTAACACTCCAGTCAACTAAATAAATAAGATCAGTTTGTCCTACAATTGCTACCTTTGGGATCAAGAATGCTTTTTAAATCTTCCTTAGAATTCTTTTGTTTCTTGTGGGATCCTGCATATAATCTGAGTTCCATTTGTTATGGTTTAAAAGAGCTGAAAGAAACTGAGAACCAGGAATGATTCGATCAGGCAGTTGCAGTTTAATTAGTACTATGTTGGTTACTGCCTTTGCCCTCTGGCTAACATAATTGGTAAATGATGTCTTCAAGGAAACAGTAACAGATTCATGCTTTCATTTTGTAGATGAATTTTCAATTCCCCTTAATAACTGTTCTGCCGCACTCCCCCCTGCCAGCCTGACCCAGTTAATTTTGTGCAACAGTATTTTTCTGCTCCATTACCCCTTCCATTCTGTCTCTCAAGTGTAATTAAACTATGCATTTCAGCTGATGGATTGTATCTGTAAAAGCACCAGGACCACACAGTACTACCTGAGGACTAGTTGATGGTAAGCGTTATTTTTTTCTTACAAAAAGTACCTGCAATAACATTTCCTTTTCAGTTGTGTCCTGGCTAAGCCAGTAAGTAAGAGCAAGTTACCTTTTAAAAAACACTTGAAAGGTCTGGAGTCTTTGCATAAGGTTCTGTGTCAATACTCACTGTGTTTTTTCCCAGAGATAAGAAATAATTTTCTGATCATCTGAGCTTTTGCTACCATCCAAGGTTGTACTGTCCACGGGCAGGGTCAGCTCTTTATCTGGGCCAGCATCTGCCTGAGGAGGCTTGTTATTTTCTAGAAGACAGAGACTTGGGAGTCAAAAACCACCAGTCCAGCTGGGAAAGGAGAGGAACCAACTGGGACATATGTTCTGAAAGCCATAAGGATTCTGCCTCTCAGCCCACAGACTGTCAGATACTGTGAGAAATATGGATACAGTCAAGGAGCTCACAATGAAGAATGAAAGACAAAAACTTATAAAAACAGTCCTGGAAAAAACACGGCAGAACATAATGAAGTTATTTTGCTATGCTCCATTTGAAATATAACGCTATAGGTGCTCAAATGGAAAGGTCTGAGTGATAAGGAGGGTTTGTTTGAGGAAATGTGCTTTAAGCTGGCTCTTAAAGGATGTCTTAAAGGACATAGCAGGATTTGGGATGGCAGAGATTCTAGCTCCAAGGGCCCCTTGAAGTTCCAATAACTAGCCAAGGGTAAGGGTACAAGTGAAGGCTTTAAGTACATACCCCCTTCCCTCTAGCTGTGAAGAAGCTGTCAGAAACCTCGTGGATGGGTGCCTCTTGCTTCTACCCTTGTGCAGCTCAGAACCCACACCCTTCTCTCTCCCAAGGTTAGGGAGACCAGCCAATAGAAAAGCCTGCACTACAAGGTTGGAACTTACCAGGCTGCACAATAACAGTGACTTGAGCCATGGCTTGCTGTCCTATTGTGTCAGTCACTGTGAGCTGGTAAGTGTAATCTCCTTCCTGCATTGCAGAGAGCTGCAGAGTTGGTGTTCTAACGCCCTGTATCAATAAATACAGACAATCAGAAAAGTAGACTATCAGAATCAGAACATCACACGGTAATTCCTACTCTGGCAGAAACGATTTACTCACTTTTTAAACCTATGTTGGTACTGGGCTATTACCTCTCAGTTTAGCGTAATTTGTGAAGGCTGTGTCAGCATATGGACAGCTTGCTAAGTTTCCCCCTTCAAGGGAACAGCCTTCCCTGACACAGCAGCAGTTTCAAATAAAGCCAGAGCTCTTACAAGGGAGGGGAATATGGGAGAATATACAGAGACAACCACAATCAGTTTCTGTGACCCAAGCCAGAAAAACCATCATGAGGACATAATGAAATAACACAGTTTAAAAAACAATGTTTAACAATTCCTCTTCCTAGTGAGGCCACAGAGTGATCCTAAGAAAGCCTTCTCAATAAAATACGGCAGCAACTCAAGATGTCTTGTTACATCATGCTGTTTTATAGGTTTGTACAGACTCTGTAGCCACAGAAAAACCTAACATGATACTTAAAGTCAGGTGAGATGTGGGCTTGAACTTCATGCCCCCAAATCCAGAATCACAGAATCTTGAGTGTCAGAAGAAACATTATAAATAATGTAAGGCAAACTTCCAGTTCATGAACTTTCCCTAGAATAGTGGGCAAAAAGTAGCAGCTGCTGGGCTAAATCCAGTTTGGCCTGGAGTGTCTTGAAAGTTGGAAAATTTCACATAAAGTTACAGATTTTTGTCTTTATTTATTTCCTAGTAAATGGCACTACTAAGGCACTACTAAGGTCCCCCGAGAGGGACCAGGTCTTCGGGAGCAAGGTAAGCACAGGCGTAGCACAGAGTAGCAGGCCGGAAGAGCAGGAGGAAGGGGTGGAACCC